GAGACTAGTTTCCAACCAAGAAGCATAAGAATGAGGACCTAAAGGAATACTTAGTGTGGGTACGATTATGTGGTCTTATTTATGCATTGCACAAGTATAACTTAAGGTTGCCTAAGGAAGTGTTCTCATATATGATGTATGTTTAGATAGGATTGTGTTATAGTTGCCTTCCTTTTTATGATTAACTAAATGTGAGAGATTCACTTGGTTATGAGAATTAAGCTAAGGATGAGATCCTAAGATGGTGAGTATGTATGATGGCCTAAAAGTGGTACTTAGCCTAGGTGGGATTATGGGGTCTCATCTATGCATTGCACAAGTATAACTTGAAGGTTATTTATTGAGATTCTCTTGTTTGTGAGAAGTAAGCTAAGGGTATGACCATAAGATGGGAAGGATGAATATGATGACCAAAGGGGATACTTAGTATGAATGGGATTATGGGGTTATTCATGCATTGCCTAAGTATGCTTTGAGGTTACATGAGAAGTAGTTATTTTATGATATGAAGTACTAAATGTGGAATAATGCTTATATGATGTTTATGTTGGAGACTTTGCTTATGATTATGATATTGTCTCTTATGCTTATAGTTGATGTTTCATGAAGTATTGGATTATGTCTTATGTTGACTAACCCTTGTGATAATATGCTCTTATGATGTTATGCTAGCTATCATATTTAGTACTTTTGTACTAACGCATACTTTGCCTACGTTCTCATCAAATGTAGGATTTGAAGATTTGAGTTTCATTCTTGAGGATAGTTTCCAAGGAGCAAGGAGTTGAAGAATTGGTGAGTCCTCATAGCTTCCAGGACAAAGCCATTATTTCCTTATGTCTTTTATTTTCATCTTTTGAGACTATTGTATGGGTTATATCCCAAGAGTTGTTCAAAGTTGTAATAGATGGTTTGAGATAAAATGTAGTAAGACTTCCACTTGCTTTTATAAAAGACTTCAATTGTATGGATAAAGTTTTTAAAATTTTTGTACTTTTCTATTATCTTATGTTATAATATGCTAAGGGCTTGTATGAGACCTCTTCGTGGTTAAGTACACCATGTTACATCTAGGGTGTACCCCTGGGTCGTGACACCACGGTGGCGTAGCCACATAACTCAAGACGGTTAATTGAACACTCTTATCAAAAAATCATACTATATATGTAAAAAACTGTATGAAATGTATAAGTTAAATTTTTTTTTTTTATATATATATATTATATTAAATCTTGGACACCTTTAAGAAAATTTCTAATTTTGTCAAATTTACCTTTTGGAGGCGATTAAAGTTGCCACTAATACATACTTTTAGTGGCGACTTATATACGTTTTAGCGGCGATAATTTTTGTCACTAATGCTAGTTTTTAGTGGCAACAAATATAGCTTTTAGCGGTGACTAAAGTTGCTACTAATACATACTTTTAGTGGGGACTAATATATGTTTTAGGGGCGATAATTTTAAACACTATGCTGGTTTTTAGTGACAACAAATATACCTTTTAGCGGCGATTAAAGGTGCCACTAATACATAATTTTAGTGGTGACTAGTATATGTTTTAGCGGCGATAATTATTGTCACTAATGCTAGTTTTTAGTGGCAACAAATATAACTTTTAGCGGCGACTAAAGTTGCCACTAATATATTACTTTTAGTGGCGACTTATATAAGTTTTAGCGGCGATAATTTTTGTCACTAATCCTAGTTTTTAGTGGCAACAAATATACCTTTTAACGGCGATGAAAGTTGCCACTAATACATACTTTTTAGTGGCAACTTTTTTTTTTTTTGGCTGTTAGGCCATTTTATTTAGCATAATAACGAAAAAACAATAAAGTTCGACCCAAATACAAACTTCAAATCTGACTAACTTTGTACTAACTCTTTACTAAATGTGTTAACATCTCTATGGATGATGTTGTAATATCCTTTTGGGGTGACACCTTAACGACGGAATTTGCGGTTTTTCCATGCTTATAATCTTTCTCTCCAAACTCGACAACTGTTAGAATGAGCTAAACGTCTTCTTTTCAGTAGAGTTAATTTCCAGATTAGCTAAGTAATCTGCCAATTTGTTGCCTTCTCTGTATATGTGTTGTGTCTTTACCTCAAGGTATGTCATTTCCTATTTTAGCTCATCAAACTCCTGTGATATTACCCATGACACTTTCCAAGCTTCATTAATAATTTTGACCATTAATAACGAATCTTATTCCAAGATTATTTTCCTCATTTTCTTGTTGACGCAGTATCGAATTGCCTCTAGAATAACTCTCATTTCTGCTTTTACATTGGTAGTGATACCAATGTTCTCCGCCGCAGCATGTATTAAGTCGCCATTGCTATTCCTAAGACAGTAGTCGTATGCACTGATACCTAGATTTCCTTTACTTGCCCCATCCGTGTTGCATTTGATCACGTCTTCATGAGATGTGTCCCATCGAACTATACAGTGGTACAGTCTTGATTTGTTAGCATTTAACCTCCTGATCATCTCCTCCCAGTTCTGCCCTCTCATTTCAATCCATGGAAACTTCTTTTTAAGTATGAATTGTACATTTTGGAGTACTTGAGAAATCATGCTTTGTAAAGATATATCACCTCCATGCTTCCTCGAATTCCTTCTCTTCCATAGTGTCCATGTAATCAATGCCGGTATCACCTTATATATTTCCATCACTTTGCTTGGTGCCTGGGTATGCCACCATACCTTCATCAAATGATATAATTTTTTTCCTTCGATTACTATCCCTGCAAAATTAGCAAAATGCTTCCATATCTTAGTAGCTATGGAGGCTGTTAGAAATAAATGCTCCATTGTCTCTTGTTTATATTGCTCACAACACCAACATCTTAAGGGCACATTAATCCTCATGATTTGCAAATTATCATCTGTAGGGACTCTTCCTTTCCATACCCTCCATAAAAAGAAGTTGATTCTCAAAGGAATCCCCTTATTCCATATGAACTTGAGATTCTCCCTTTCATCTCTTCTGGGTCGTAACAAGTCCCAAGCTGATTTTACCGTAAAGTTTCCAATTGTATTTCCCATCCACCATGCCTTATCCCTACCTGTTTCTATCAGTACAGGGCTGATATTCTCTGTGATATATTATATCATCTCTTTCGAAACATATTGATTCAGCTTCCCCTTATTCCATCTCCCTTCTTGTATGAATTGCTTCACCTCAATCTCCTCTTCCCCATGGTTCTTCTCCTCTAGATAGTACAAAGCTCCTTGCTTTGTCCAGTTGTCAAACCAAAAGCTTGCTTCTCCTTCTTTGACCTGCCACCATATATTATGCTCCACCTCCTCTCTGATTTGAATCATCTTCCTCCACGAGAAATTCCTGTCCCTTGAGCAATAACTGGATGCTGCTTCTTACAATATTTATTCCATATATAATGACTCCATAGTGAATCTGATGAAGTTCTAAAATTCCAGCACAGTTTCGCAAAAAACGAGTCTGCAACTGTGTGTAGTGATCTCAAACCAATTCCCCCTTCCGCCTTAGGCAAACATAGGTCTTCCCAAGCCACCCAATGCTTCCCTTTTAAACTACCAACCTTTATATACGTTTTAGCGGCGATAATTATTGTCACTAATGCTAGTTTTTAGTGGCAACAATATAGCTTTTAGCGGCAACTAATGTTGCCACTAATACATACTTTTCGTGGCGACTAATATGTTTTAGCGGTGATTATAGTTGTCACTAAAGCTAGTTTTTAGTGGCAACAAATATACCTTTTAGCAACAATGAAAGTTGCCACTAATACATACTTTTAGTGGCGACTAGTATATGTTTTAGCGGCGATAATTATTGTCACTAATGCTAGTTTTTAGTGGCAAGAAATATACCTTTTAACGGCGATTAAAGTTTCCACAACTACATACTGTTAGAGAGGAATTATAACCCCACTAAAGACAAAACTATTGACATTTACACATCGTCAGCTTCCATAAATAAACGAAGCTATGAAGATCGAACAAAGGAAGAAGACGAAGAGAATAAGAAAGTTCAGACACAAGAGATCAAAGTTCAATAAGGTCTATGTTTATCAAGACTTTGTCTCTTAGTGATATGGAAGGATCACAACCCTTGATAAAATTACCTGATAAACACTTGTCCATTTGATCAAGAGACAGCTGGAGGAAATAATAAGCTCAAGGAAGCTTCACTCACGTGACTTACATGTGAAAACAAGAAGGGAAAAAGAAAAGGAAAAACAAGAAAGAGAGGAATTTTTCACATATTGAGTTTTTTTTTAAAAACGCACATATTGAGTAGTTTAATTAATTAGGAAAAAAGGTGTAAGAACTAATGAATACAATATATAGTAATGTTGGTATAAATTATTTTAAATCTTGTAGGACTAATATCATATTTGTTAATATTTTTTTACTATATGTAATATTCAACACATCTAATACATGTTTGATATGCATGCAAAATAGGTGATAAATTAATTAATACACAATTAACTAAATTTTATATAATTACTCTTTATATAAAAATAATATATAATTTTTTTATAATTAATCTTTAGATTTTTAATACAGATATAACTTTTAACAACTTAACAAATGACCCTAGATTGTTTTTTTTTTTTTTAATCTTGAATTTGACAAGTTGTAGGGAATATCAAATGGCAAGTGTGGACAATACTACTTTCATGGAAACAAGACTGAATTTGTTGTTTTTCATGTTTCTTTTGCTAGTTTCTATGCAATAGGTTCATTTCATAAGTCCCTATTTATTTACGATATAAATAAAAAATGTTCATTTTTAAAAAATAATTGTGAACTATTTTCATTGGCAATAAGTAAATTAATACTACAAACTAGAGAGCATTTAAGAAAATAAATTAAATTATTTTCATGAACAATTTTAGAGAGATCAACAATATTATTCAGACACGGAGGCTGGTAATCATGTTCATAATTGAAAAGAAAAGCAAGCCACAATAAATTAAAACAAAAAAAATATATAAAACTTGTTTAAGGAACAAATTATTTTCATTCACATATCCAAACATAACTAAATCATACTTCCAATATCTTCTCTACTTTTTTTTTCAACTACAACCAAATATTGTACAAATAAAACACCTACTTCTTCACACACCTCTAAATTAACCACCAAAACAAAAAAAACAAAAAAAACTAAAAGGGTATATATATGTATTACAATCTTAACAACTTATATTGGTTACTAGTTAAGTCAATGTCTTATAAAACTAAACAATACTAGTAATATATTAATTGTTGATGTTAGTAGGTGAAATTTTCACATAGCAATTGGTTTTTGAGTAGCACATTGGACATGTCTTGGACAAGTGATAATGTGGTCATTGGTAAGCCCAACTGCCTGCATGAAAGAGTGTATAATTGTTGGGCCAACATATCTAAATCCTTTTTTCACCATATCTTTGCTCATTGTTTCTGATTTTGATGTCTTTACTGGGATTTTGTTGCAAGCCTTGTATTGTGTTTTAATGGGCTTGTTGCACACAAATCCCCATAGGTACTTGTGGAATGACCCAAATTGTTTCTTCATCTGTAAATTCAAGAATAAAATGAAACCATTATTCGATCGCAAAATTAGCTAATGAAAATATGATTTATTCAAATTTGAGGCTAGGAAATGACATGCCTATGTATTAATTAACCCTAGGAAATTGCATCAAATAAGTAAGCCTCTAGACATGAGAAATTTTAGTTGCTCAGATAACTATCTATCAAAATTTAACCTTATTAGTGAGGACTCGGTTTATCCCGTATCTCCCCCCCCCCCCCCCCCCCCCCTCCCTCTTCCATACCCCCACTATTATCATCATTATTATTACTTTAATGATGGTGGATAAGTTATCCCAAAACATGTCAATCAAACAAGACATCTAAATTTTATCCCAGAACTATTTTTTTATCCCAGGGCTATTTATTCGTATCCATCACACCAAACGAGCCCTAATTTTACTAATGTATTGGTTACTAAAATTCCAACAGTTGGCTAGGTCAAGGCCAGATGTGTTATTCAGATTCCATGTGGCCCACCATGTGGTTATGTTAGTACTATTAATTTAGTGGTGTTAGCTTCATGCAATGATTGACTAAATACAGCTCAAAAAGTTAGTACAAAAAAAGTATTTGGAACCAATGGAAATGACAGTTTAAAAGTTAATTAGAGATTTGTGTTATGCTAATATTGTATTAATTACCTCTAAAATTCTTTTAGAGTTGTCAACAACCCCTCTAACTTGGCTCAACTCAATTCCATATTCAATGCTTGTTGAATTTATCTTCTTTTCATTGTATTTTGCAACAATTTCTGCATCAAATCCTGAAAATGCATCCCTAGAACAAAGTAAACAAAGCAAATTACATCTAAAACCTCAACGGATGTGTGTCAGATTCTCCAAAAATAATATATTTTTTTAAGAATTCAAAGCAAATGCCTACCTGAAATCTTGCCTTCTCTTTAACAGTGAAGTCCAGTCTGATCCAACTTGAGCCACAGTTAATACCAACAACTCAAATAACAGACTGCATATGATTCAATAAGGAAAATTAGTGCCCAAATGCTTCTGATAAAATATGGAGTTGATTTAAGTTATATATATATAAAAAGTGTAAAAACACACACGAAATAATCGAGAGAATTCACTTTTATCTATACCATGTGTGTGAATTAGAGTAATTTTTATTGGACAAAGGTGGCTCCGCCACTAACTCAGAAGAGTTTTTATGTTATATAACAAATTATTTAAATAACATAATTATCTAAATATCTTTTATATCATCCGTGCATAGAACTTAAACTGGAGAGGACATGTGAAATATAGATGAAAATGGGAAGAAAAAGAGGTACTTACTTATCATCATGGAGAGGAACTCCCCATTCTTCATCATGGTATGCAATATATATAGGGTCTAGAAAACAGAACAGTTAGCTTCACTCATCCTAATTGAAATTAAAATGAGATAATTGAACGAACGATTAACTCAATTGAAATTACCAGAATTAGGTGTGATAAAGCTGCATCTTTTGGCTTCTCTAGAAGTTGAATCAACAGCAGCAGCAGCATTGAACTTAGCTGAATTAGTTCTTCCATAATGTGCAATTCTCTGTTTCCTCTGCACTTGCATATTAGCAACTTGTTCCCTTCTTGCTGCTGCTATACTTCCAGCAACTTCAACAATCATAAAAGAAGAGTCATTCTTCACTTTCTTGATAGGTGACTTGATTTTAGGTGAAATAGGAGGACTTGATTTTGGGATTTTCTCATTATTTGTATTCAACACATTAACTTTCTTGATTTTGGGAGAGATAGGAGGAGGTGAAATCTTGAAATTACATGTATTATTTTTTTTGTGGGAATTGTTGTATGGTTGAAGAACAGGGCGACCATTGATATGAGAGAGTACTGATTGTGATGAAATATCAACAACAACTCCTCCTCCTTGTTTCTTGAACTTGTAAGAACACATTTTTTTGGTCAAAATTAATTGTATTCTTGGATAATGGAAGTGGAAAAGACTTTTGAGGGTAATGTACAAATGAAGGTGATTAAAAAGCCAAGGGAAATGTGAAGGATTTTATAGAAAGAGATGTAAGGGGTTAGTTGGAGCCTTTTTTTGAGGATATGTGTGGAGGTAGGGTTGGTGGGGTGTGTTAAGGAACATGTATGAGGGAAGTTGATTGGAACATGGAGGATGCCATCATGTGAGGGACACTTTTTCTTTTTTTTTTGTTTAACATAACCACGAGGATGAAAGTGACACAAACCTTCCTAGAATCTACATCTTCATTTGCATACAATATATTTTATATTCAAAAGTATAGGTAATAATACAAGTATGTCTAATTATATAGTTTTTCTTATACTTATTTGTTTTATCATATGGTGTTTTATACTTATAGCATGTATAAGACTTGTCACTTTCGGCTAAAATGCAAGCAAACCGATCAAGTATGGAAGAAAAAACTTGCCTTTTCTATTGATTAACAAGAATGCAATATACTATACACGTTAATTGAGATCGACAAAAACTTATTTTCAAATCTTTGTAATGTCGCATCATTCTTTTTTATGAAAATAGTCGAAAGTAATATTGTATTCTGGTTCTCCATTATTCGTAGTTGTTTGTGTTGAGCTTGCCGAGAGTGCTTGTAAAATCATGATCATTGATCAGTGTCTCGTGACTTATAGCCTCTGATAATAGCTTGTAGGATCTGCTTTGATCAGTTGCTTCCTTATTTTTTATCCATCACGCTCTGACACCGCTTATTAAATATTTATGGTTGCACAAAATCGATGGCTCACAACTTAAATTTTACCCAAGTGTGAGTGAGGGGAGTGAAAGTGGTGGGTGTGCCAGCAGTTGAGGGACCCTCCTTTACTGCTTCATTGGTAGCCAGCTCTGTCTCTTTTTGGTTTCAAATACCCAAGCTGGAGTGAGGTTTAGTTTTTTGGGGCCAGAAAGTGACCAATCATTCTTTTTCCCTTTAGAGCTGGCTTCATTTTTATTTTCTTCTCTTTATCTTTAATATTCCCCTCTACGAAGAGTATCTTTCTAAGCAAAAAATGAATGATATACTGATTAATTATAATTTATGAAATTAGTTGTAATTCAGTTGATGGAAAGTAGACAACTGCTTTTATACAGAAAAGTTAATCTCAACTCCAAAAGAAAAAATGGGCTGTAATTCTTACTTTTGACATTTCAATTCAAGATTCAGTATTGTAACAACTATATTTTGCGTGTCCAATTAAAGATGAATTCAGAATTTTATTTGATTTTAGATAGATTTTATATAATAAGTGAGTTTAAAATGTAAATATAAGATTCAAGTGAATCTATTCGATTTTGTCCAATTCGTAACTTTCTATACACCGTACACGATCGACGTATAAAATCTAAACTCTTACTGGTATCAAGCAACAAGATCATTTTGCAATAAACAAGCTTAGGTCTAAAGTATGACTTTTTCAAGTTTCATCCCTTTTAGGGTAAGAATCTTATTCCCCTCATCTAGTGGCCATAGCCAAGTTCCTATCACTAGTCATGACATTTAAGACACTACCCTTTTGTGGATTTATATGTGCATTATTGAGACATATCACAATGTAAGATTACCATACAATTTTGTGATACAAAGTAAGGATAATTGGCATATGGAGTAGAAGGTAACAATAAAGAATATATACAAGACAATATTAGAAAAGTTGTTGGTAACGTATACAATTTTTTTTTTTTTTATAAATAGCCTTGAAATATACATAACAAAAGCTTAATATATCAGACTGTTCTTTAATTTAGTATCGTCTATTATCACAATTAACTTGTAAGGGAGCTTGGATATGATGTTGTGGAGGTTCTAGATAAGACTTTATTTTTCGCTCAATTTTTATTACTTTGAATCATTTTCAGGTTGAGTTTACATTCTTAAACAATATTTATCAAACAACATGGAGTCTGGGTAGGGTGAGCGTGTACGCATACCTTATCTCTATCTTAGAGACAGAAGTTATTTCTAATAGATCCACAACTCAAGAAAAAACAGTTCAAAGTATTCCACGAAAGAAATAACAAAAATACAAGAACCAATAATTTAATAACAAAAGATAGCCTTTAGTAACATAACATAAACTACAATAAAACAATACGAGGTAAAATAAACAATACATAGTAATAAAATTGAGAAATATTATATATATATTTAGTGACCAATCTATTTTTTGGTGCTTTGTTCCAATCACTTGTTGGTAACGTATACAAATTTTTTTTAATTTTATAAATAGCCTTGAAATATACATAACAAAAATTTAATATATCAGATTGTTCTTTAATTTAGTATCGTCTATCATCACAATTCAGGTTGTTAGGGAGCTTGGATATGACGTTCTGGAGGTTCTAGCTAAGACTTCATTTTTTCTCCCAATTTATAGCTTTGAATCATTTTCAGGTTGAGTTTACATTCATAAACTATATATCCAACAACATGGAGTCTAAGTAGGGTGAGTGTGTACGCATAGCTTATCTCTATCTTAGAGATAGATAAATTATTTCTAATAGATCCACAACTCAAGAAAAAACAATCCAAAACAGTCAGTGAAAGAAATAACAAAAATACAAGAAACAATAATTAATAACAAAAGACAGCCTTTAGTAAATGTCAACTTAGTGAATGTCAATTCACTCACCTAATTTAATTAATACTTGGTACTAATTTTAATGGATGGTAATAATATCACATGTAAGTTACTTTGGATTTCAATACAAAAAAGAAAGACAAGCCATGTGCAAATCCATCAAATAATGAGACGCAATTCTTGGCAAAAACACAAGATGATTGACATCTATCATATCAATTCGTAGCTCCATAATTTTTATTTATTTCAGGTTCGATATTTGTATTAAAGTTCGATTAAATTCAAATTCATTTTAACGGGGCATGCTTCCAACATGACTTTTTTTCATTCCTAGAGACTCGAACCTAAAATCTCTAATAATTTCAATCATTTCACCACAATCCATATTGATTCCCCATAAAATTTTTGTTATCAAACAACAATTTTGTGAACCTTCCTCGAAAACTCTTTTTCTTTTTTAAAATTGTATTCTTATTTATTTATTTATTTCTAAAAGAATCAAGAAGGACACAAGGAATTTTCACGCTTAGAATCAATAAGACCTAATAAAAATGTTTAAAAATAGAAGTTTTTATCCAATAAATTACATGAAATGGGGTCTATATATACTCGTTATTTGTTAGTTTTTATAAATTGTTAAGTCAACATTTTTATTTCCTATTAGTTGATTCACTTTTATTATTTCCATGTTGTAAAAAAAATTTAAAAAATAAGAAGTTACAAGAAAAAAAAACAACAAAACGAAAGAATTTTTTTTAGAAAACGAATCTCTTGACTAGGAAAAAGCAATTTGATCATACAATTATAACATATCTAATATAATTCGTTTTTTTTTTTTGGTTATCCAATGCTTTTAATTTGGACATGAGTTGGACTCTGTTTGTGGGAATTTTTTTTTTCTCCTTTTGTCTTATTTTCTCTCCTAACATACAAAAAGAAAGGGAAAAAAAATTACCTTATAGGATTATGTACCAATTATTATTATTGGGTACGTACAATCTAAAGTCACTACATCAAAAATGAATTTTAGCAGCAATTAATTAACAATTGCCGCTAAATATATATTTTTAGCAGCAAATAGCACTCTTTGTATATGTCCCTAAAGGCTTTAGCGACATTGGATCTAATGACACTTAACTAATGCCGGTAAATAGTTCGGAAAAGGGTCAAAATTGCCCCCGAATTATATGAAATAGACCATTTATATCCTTCGTTACATATTGGGATAAAAAATGCCCCTGCTGTTATCCTAAGAAACCACAAATACCCTCAAGAGTTAACACCCCAAATTTGTGTTGATGTGGCAAGCCACGTGGGACTAATCCTTCCACCTAAGCGTTGCCAACTAGGATTCACTACAAAAGAACTAGACCTTTAGCAGCAACAACAGTCGCCACAAAAGCCCAGAAAATCGTCACTAAAAGTTTTTAACATTAAATTCTAATTTTGTGTTTTTTTCTTCATTGTTTTTAAAAAACCAAATATGATATCGATTAAGTAGGAGTTTGAAGACACTATATGTTTTATTTTTATGTCATATGTAAATGTATAAAATGTACAATGATGCATTATATATATAGTAGGAGATTTGAATCGAGAAGTAATTTTGATTATTTTTCGTAATAATATTGGATGTTTTTAATATGGATATTGCAAGTTATTTATTTTAGAAAATTAGGTCGCATTCGAAAATTAATTATCATATTTTTTTGTTGAAAAAATAGGTTTTACTAGCGAATGGTTGTTGGAGCCTTAGTCGCCACTAAAAATCACTCATAACCTTTAGTGGCAATATTTTGGGATTTTGTGGCGACTTTGTCGCCACTAAAAGTCAAGTTTTTTTGTAGTGAATCTTAGTTGGCAGTACTTAGGTGGAGGGATTAGTCCCATGTGGCTTGCCACGTCACTAAAAATTTGGGATATTAACTCTTGAGGGTATTTGTGATCTCCTGGGATAACTGCGGGGTATTTTTGATCCCAAAATGTAATGAAGGGTATAAGTGGTCTATTTTGCATAGTTCAGGGGAAATTTTGACCCTTTTCCGTAAATACTTTAACACTTTATATTAATGTGTCTATTTATTACCGCTAAAAAATATTTTTGTTGTAGTAAGTGGAAAAAAAGCTTTTTGTAATTATATGGAATACACATGCTACATGGCTAAATAATTATTTTTATTGTTTCCCTCAGTTTTCTTCCTCCAATATTAGATTATTGTATTATAACAAAATTTCAGAAATATATAACAAGATAAAATAGAGTGAGTTAGGACAGGTGCGTAAAGTAAGGTAAATGTTAAAATGAAACGAAACTGTTCAGTGCGCGTAAATCGCATTTGTCCAATGCGATTTACGAGTAAACTTCTCATTCTCATTTCTAAACCGAATGGCATTTTGGATAATGTTTCTAACATTTCCGTTTTTCTTTATTATTATTTTTTTTGTTAAACTTTAGTTTACTACTTCTGAAGAAGAGGCTACAAACAGGCAGAAACTCAACATACCTGATTGTATGCCAGGGGTAATTTGGTAATTTTTATGTTTTCTTCTATAATTTTTTGTGCAATATTTCTTTATATACGTAAAAATTATATAAAAAGTATTATAAATGACATGAATTAGCAACTTAAACTATCTAAAACAAAATTGTTCAACTTAATACGATTGTTACAATATTTTTTTATTTATTGTGTACGTATAACAAAGATAAAAAAGTGTGTTGACATGATGCACGCAAAGTAAGGTAAATGTCAAAAAGAAACAAAACTGTTTAGTACACTTAGTAAAGCATAAATCGCATTTCCTAAAATGCGATTTATGAGTAAACTTCTAATTTCTAAGTTGAATGGAATTTTGGATAATATTTCTAACATTTCCCATGCCTGTTGTGTGCCATGGGTAATTTGGTAATTTTCATGTTTTCTTCTATAAACATGTATTTTCCGTATCTAGTATAGGCATAATACATAAACATGACCTTTAACTTGGTTTCAATGGACAACTATGACCTTCAACTTTGAGTGTGCACAAGTAGACACTTAAACTTGTATAAAATTGAACAAGTAGACACATGTGTCCTACATGGCATAATACACATAGGATGCCACGTAGAATACAAAATAGCCATGTAGAAAGAATATGTCTATTTGTTCAATTTCATACAAGTTTAAGTGTCTACTTGTGCACACTCAAAGTTAAAGATTATTGTTGTCAGCTGACGCTAAGTTAAGGGTCATGTTTATGTGTTATGTCTCTAGTATATATATATATATATGAATGATGTGATATAGTTATGAATGTGCCAATATATGTGGGGTGATAGCTATGACCTACATGCATGCTTAATTTTGAACAAGTACACAATGATATCATAATGAATTATTGTAGCACTGCAACCACAAAAAGCAACAGTGAAAAGTTCTCTTATTTTTGTCTCACATGCTAAGTTAGAGATAAATATAATTTATAGGGTCCCTAATATCCCTCAGCCAACCAACAAATATATATAAATAAAAATAAAGAGTATTACTTACAAATTTCCAGCTCCTAAGAGGAAGGAGGGCCAAAGGACAACTTGATCAATTAATATCTACATTAAAGATGATACATGATACTCATTGAACATTTATTTTTAATGGTAGAAGTAGCTAAATTAACTCTTTTTTTTTATAAAAAAAAAAGAAGTAATTCGTTTAACTCAGTCAAGTTCCAGTGGATTTGGTCTTGTTCTGTTTAAAAACTTAACCTAGTGAGTCGAATATGAAATGACTCAATGAATCAAAATAGTGTAATTAAACGGGTCAAAATCAACTTGAAAATTGAAAATCATAAAAAAAAAAATTGGAACAACAACTCGAGCTAATAATTTACAAAGAAGACTTTCGATTCTATGTTGGGCAAATTAAGTTATAACATGTTAGTTGATTCACTTTAACCCAAACAAACTTTGATATATATACGACCCTTTATTGATTTTAACTATTTTGACATGTTCAAAATTGACTCAAAACTCTTAAATAAGTGGTGAAGTCACATATAAATGATCATCGAATATTCTCTATCAAAATTTTATACTAGCTATACTATACAAATAATATATATATATATATATATATATTTGACACCTCTCTCTATATATATGTGTGTGAGAAATGTTGAGCATGTGTATATGCATGTGACAACCAATTTTGTGAAATTGACACATAAATAGAAATGTTGTCTCTCTTGGTTGGTTTTTGCAAGTTCATATATATTGTACTAGTGACTAGTGACGGCCATAATGCTCTTAATTAGCACCAACTCTTATCCGCAAGACAAATTAAATCCCTCACATGCATTGCTAAGGGCATTAAACTTTGAGCAAGTGGGGTTGGGGGACAACACGCAGGAATGGACGTTTGATATTTTGGTTTGATTTTTAAAAAGTTTGATTATAATATTTTGATTTTTGATTTTTTTTTTAATGATATTTACCAATTACCAGACTGTAGTTTGTTTGATTTGATTCTATTGGATTTAGTTTAGTTTTTTCTTGTTCGATTTAATTCAGTTCTTCGATAAGAGATTGAGTTATTTTTCTATTTAAAAAATGGGCTATTTTCAATTCGACCTAAAAATATTAATTGGTCACTTTCAAGATAAATCATTGTAGTTGACCTGTCTGTGGTTTTGGGATAAATATAAATAAAATAATATATGTCTTAATTTATATGATATTTTGAGAGTCAATAGTTTAAGTTTGAGCAAGAATTTGCACGTGAAATAGTTTAAGTCTATGTATATCATAAGTACTTATCAATTATGTATTATTTTTCGAAAATAATATCTCCACCAATAAAGATAGAGATAAAATATGCTTACTTTCTATCTTATTCAAACTTTGTTTGTGGGATTACACTAATATAAAATTCTTGGCTTCACTCTTGCTTGAGCTCATGACCAAAAGGAGGAAATATAGATTTTTCTTTAACTTCTTTGTGTATAAAAATCTTAGTGTAAAAATTAATTAGAAGAAGCCAGAGCTGAACTTCACATTTTTGTTATATTGTGAAAATTAAGGTAAAAATAAATTATTTCTTCACTAAGGATTTTTACCTTATAAATCATTGAATCTCCTTGATATATAGAAAAAATAAATCTAGTGTAGTTATAAGGTGGTTCAAAAGTTGCTTTAGGTTACTTTTTAATACCAATACAAACTAGAGGTTGACTCTATTCAAAATTTCAACCTGAGGTTCCATGTTTAAAGTAAAATCCTGAATCCGCCATTGCCTACTGTCTCACATTTTATGCAGAAACTAAGAAGCAAAGGCCAGAGCTAAGTGAAAAATCTGTTAGCCTCCAATTGATGGATTTTGTTTCCAAATTTACAAAGGGAAAGGTGTTGGAAAGTAGCAAACATATAATGCATATAGAATCTAACTAATGGAGAAATTCATTGAGTACTGGTAGCTTTTGCCTTATGCTGATTCTTGTTCACAATGGCTCTTCTCTACTCTCTAATCTAGCTAGCGTTCGATTGCCATAAGTCGACTAGTGCTCTGGAGATCATCATCTGAATGATTTTCAAGTAAGGATAATTAGTTATACTTTATATTATGCTAGTCTTGCATGTTGGAGATTCTTCACGTTGCGAAGAATCTCCAAGTAAATATAAAGAAACTTGAAAGAAAGACACAACTCTACTATCACCAGAAGGGAACTTCTCTTTCATTAATCTTATCATATACAAAGGATGGTTAGTGGATAGTAAATTAGCCAGAAAAGGATTTCATGGCTAAGACAAAGGGTGTCTGGCCAACCTCCACAACTCTGCTTGTGTGACCTTGCTCTCAAATAAAGGAAGAGGGTTGACAACCAGAGTAAACTAGTAAGTTATGATTGGTCTACACTGGGATGAGGCTTGAGTGCAGTGACCTTAACTTACTCAGAATTGAGTCCACAGTTGCAGCTTTTTTTGGTTGTTGTCTGGCAGACCTTCAGAACAAAATCAAGTTCACATGTACATCATGAATGAGCATATGCACGCACGACATCCATTATTGGAGCTTGGCATATTGGACATTTTCCAATACCGGAAATCAATTCATGTGCACACAAGAAACAGGTGCACATATGTCCACATCTGCAGCAAAAAAAAATAGACAAATGTATGAACATGATTAGTATTGTTTATTTCTAGTATAGTTTTTCAGTTACGTACTTAGTGTGGTTAAATTGATATCGATATATCAGTACCTGTAAAGAAGAGAATCAACTGGCTCCTCATTGCAAATACAGCATTTTCCTTTGTTTGAACCCTTTTTATCTGAATTCCCCCTGCTGTTTTGACCTGTATTATAAAAAATCATAAGTCCCTTCTTTACATAATTAAAGAATACGGTATTTCCCCCTGTCAAATAATCAAATCTATTAGAATCTCATATCATGATATTTGTTGTTCCAACTCACCTAACTGACTGATTGCAGCTGCAACGTCCTGCTTAATCGAATGTTGTAACTTCATTTGCATGTTCATACAACTCTTCATAGATCTTCGTATTTCAAAAATCTCTTGGTGGAGTTGCTCCATATGTCCTCTCATTTCATATATGAGTTCCATTTCCTGTTTAATGCAATGTCATTAGGTCTAATGATTCTAATCCCATATTTAACAAGAATCTCTGTTAAGTAAGTCCAAGGATAGACAACTCACAGTTGAAGGGTGTCCAGTGGAGGAAGAACATAGTTGGGAGTATATATTAGACGATTGAGATTGCAGTGAAGAAGGAGACGGGAAGTGATATGAGTCATCAGTAACTTCCTGGTATGGATTTGTGTTCCATGACTGTGAAGTCTGTGAAGGTGTGTTCTGAAGAATTAATACTTCAGGTTCATTGTATCGTTGTCTGCTCGGGATAATGTCATCTTCAGAGTCATCGTTATATCCCCATTCTACTTCTTCTTCTTTTTCATTCTGTTCCACTTCCTCCTCCTCATCTTCAGCCACTTGTGCTGGTACTTGTTTCTCAACATGGCTGCTCCTTGCATTTGGTAGTTGTTGTGAGCGAGACGCCATAATTCGATCAATTTGCTCTCTCAAACCACTCGTAAGAAACACTGAAACACTTTTCCTGCACGAATATGAAAATCAAAATCAAAGTGCAAGTCATGAACCATGTTTTGATTTCAAAAGTTGAAGGATGAATATCATAGGCGTGAGCAAGGACATAGACTCAAAGGCAAGCAGGACTGTTTATTAAAATGTTGCATTTCTTTTCAGGTTCTTAGAAATCTATATGTTTGATTCTCATCTCAAATCAGACGAGTCTTTCACTACAACATTGAGAGGGACAAAAACCGATAAGCACTTGCATGCTTTAAGAAGGAAAGTTTACTTCAAATATTAAGGAATCATTTAAAGATGCTTCAAATTTGCATGTCTATGTATAATTGAGACTTTCATATTTTCGCTACACTAATGGGATAGATAACGTATATTTATGTATGTGGATGGTTAAGAAGTAAACCTAAATCACAAAGAACAAATTTATAGGATTAGTATCACAATAAATTTGAAGGAGGTTGCTAATACCGGTGAAGAAGTTGTTGTATGTCATGATTGTTTGAGAAAGGATCAAGCATCTCTTGGTATCTTTCTTGCCTGAGACCTTCCCACTCTTTCCGTGGACGAGAAATATAACTTATCCAATCTTCATTGTCTTGCTGATAGTTAGACTGCAGTTCATCCCATCCACTAGTTGTGAGGGAATAATCACTTACCGAGCCACTGTAACTTTCAACTAGACACTGGTTGGTTGCTTCCTCCTCCCGGTAGCTTTGAGGATTCGTGCAGTCACTAGTCCCTGGAAACTGCTTGTTTTCGCCTCTATGCTTAGGAGGTCTTCCTGAATCTACAAAATCCAACAAGTTGCTATGGCTGGCTTCGGAACTTGTGTTTCCCCAACTAGCTTTTTCAGGGATATCATCTAAGCTCTGTGCTTGACAAGTATAGCTCGGTAAGCTGGTAAGGTTCATGTCATGTTGATTTAATATACAAGAACCTTCTGATTTTTTCGCGCTACATGCCATCTCTTTCTGATTTTCGGACAAGTTAGTAACCTGTATGCTGGTTGCCATAATTCTCGAGCTTAATTTCTTACATAATTCCTCATAATGATTCTCTTCACACGGTTGATTGGATATACAAAAAGTTCCAACCTTTGGGATGTTATCTACCACCTCTTTTTGGTTGTTTCTTGGTTTATGATGACTCTCTTCTTTAGATGTGCAAGGGTCTCGAGCCTTTTCTCCCGATGCTGTACCAGGCTGCATTTCAGCTCTCTCCCTGACAAGCTCCTTATGTCGATCCCCTTCTCCCTGCTGATGTGATGAAAATCTGTTTCCAACTTGTATGCTAGGCGCCACGTTCCTGGGGCTTACTTGTTCGGGTACTTCCTCACGATGATTCTCTTCTTGTAGCTGATTGGATATAGCAATAATTCCAACTTTTGGTTTGTTATCTAAGGCCTCTTTATGGGGGCTTCTTGGTTTATGATGATTCTCTTTTTTAGATATGCTAGGGTCTCGAGTATTATCTCCCAATGTTATAGAGGTACTTATTGAGTCGGCTAGTACACCATGCTGCAGTCCTGCTCTCTCCTTCACATGCCCCTTAAGTGGATCCTCTTCTTTCTGCTGATGTAATGAAAATCCAGTTCCTACTTTCGCGGAGTTACTACGAACTAGTTCTCTTTGGTGGCTTCTTAAGCTTTTAAAGTCCCGATAACTATTCTCTTTATGTTGTCGATTTGGTGTGGAAGGGAGGCTTCCGCTCTCATGGATACTTTCTGCTACTTCTTTTGAGGTGTTTCTTGAAACAGCAAGACCATGCTGTCCTACTGTGTTGAACTTTTCCCTGAAATGAATTAACATTATGGTTTAATGCATTGTGCACTAAATAGAACTATACATCAGAAACATCAGAACTTTGTTAAACAAAAGCATAGTTGAGTTCCTTTCAATTACACAACTAATGAGGAAAATGTGCTTTGGATCTTCTTCTTAATGTGTTTGGTATGAAGGAAAATAGTAGTATTAAATAAGTGATTTTTTGGTGTTTGATTAGTAAGAAGAAAATATTGTCCAAAGGCATAATCTAGACAAATACTTGACACCGAACCCGAATCCCCACCCTTTAACACGGACCCCAACCACTATCCAGCCGGGAACCCGTCCTTACCCCAACATCGACCCAAGAACCGACCCCTGCACCTAACCTCGACCCCGCCTCAGAACTTGATCCTCGGACTCACCCTAGTCTAACCCGAACAACCGACCCCAACCACCACTCAGGATCCGATGTTGACTAGAGAACTGAACCCCACCCTGATCTCAAACCGAGACCGGAGACTCGACTCCAAGCCAAGACCCGCATTGACTTTGAGATGGGGTCGGAATCAGTTCAAGTTCGAGTCATGGTCGAGATCAGGAGTCGGATCTCTAGACGAGGTCAGATATCAAGTCTCATATCGAAGTCGGATATCGGGTCTGAGGTTATGTGGTGAGGTTGAAAGAGCATTTTGGGAAGAAAATTCATTACTTTTTGGTAGGAAGTCAGTTTCCTTAAATTTGAGGAAAAATAAGTCCATTTGAAAAACATTTTAGTGAACCAAACATGAGAAAATTGGAAAATATTTCCCTTCAAGTGCAATAAAGAAGCCTGATACAGAGGTGTCAAGACTTGAAAATTAGAAATATTTCGTGGACTATTTTTACCTCATAAGCATCCCAAAACGAATCAACAACTAAAAGATGTTGCATTAGCAATCACTATGTGATCTAATGGTTTCAAGAATGCTACTTAGCGAGAAGAACCTCTCGACTTAGGAGAACCTGAATCTATTCTTTTGGTGTCACCATTCCGTCTATGTTAAAACATCCGCCCATTCCTCAATGAAAGGAAACGCTACTCAGGGATCAAAAAAAGAAACTTGGTGCCTTTCCCCAAGAATTGGTCATTCAGCATTCACACATGGAAGGAAATACAATGAAAACAAAAGGATGTACTGCACCTGAGATGCATAATTGCAGAATGTTTCGATTTATTTGGTTCAGACGCTGAGCACTTCAATGAATGGCCTCCTCTAACTTCTGCACCATGTCGTATGAGTCTAACTCGAAGCAAAGCCTAGTCAGGAAGTTGAATTATAAGGATCAATCAGTACCCACAAATACAAGTGTTCAGTTCTAACATTGTTAAATATGTGCAAATCCCTTAGAATTGATATATATACATACATCAAGAAACCTAAATGGTATCTGCTCTTCAATTCAATTAGATACTCTACATCATCTTCATTTTTTTTTCAAATTTTGACTTGTCGATAAAATTCAATATTTCAGGTTGTTCTACAGTACAATATAGTTTAACCAAACAAGCAAAGCAAAATGTGTAAACAACAACAACAAACATACACTACAATACTGTCTATCCAAACATTGTTTCAACATCACAATATAGCAATACAAAAAAAATAAATCAAGATTACAGTCAATATTAGAGGAGAAATGTACCTGAATTCTGCCTCTTTGTTGGAACTTGGAAACCGCCTTACGTTCCACAAGACCTTCGAGTTCCCTCCTCCTATCGCGCTCCATTTGCAAGAGCAAATCACTGAATGCCTGGCGCCCCCTGATGAATCGAGGTGAACTCAAAACCGGTGAAAAATTACACCTCTGTCCTTCGGAATGATCCTTTATTGATGATGTCCTAACACGAGGCAACGATGATCCACCATTGACAGCAACAACAACATTACCACCATTATCAAATTTGAGTTTCTTGATTATATCAGCAACTCCCAACCTCTCACTTTCTTTGACTTCAGAATCAGAATCTTTACTTATATCTGTTTTATCATCTGATTCCCAATCACATTCACTTTTCATCGCAATGGAACAAGATTCATCATCACACACAAATCCCAAATTCTCATAATTATTAACCAAATTCAAACTTTTCGATTCTGTTTCGAAATCTTTCCATTTTCTAACAAGAGAAGAAACACCCCCACCACAACTTTCTTGATTCTTGCCACCAAATTCTGTTTTTTTGCATATGAATAAATCAACATTGTTTTGCGAATTTTCACAACAATCAGATGGAAAAGCTTTACAAGAATGCAAATGGGATTGAACCAAATTCTTGAAATTTTGTTTGAAAGAATTGGAATCTCTAGTACTAGTAGCACAACATCTATTATTAAGAACATAGCCAAATGGAGAAGAGGAGGCAATTTCTACTTGTGAAGAAGCCATTTTCTTTTCTTTTTTAAAATTCTAATCCTCTCTTCTTCTCCACAAATCAACAATGTTTTTTTTTAAAAAAAATACTATTCTAAATTAGAAAAAAAAAAATATGAAATCTTTGAACATGTCAAAATATCATTTTTTTCAACAAGCCAAAAGATTTAAGAGAAGAAGAAAGAAGAACAATGTTTCATAAAAATAGGCAAAATAACAGAAACAATAAAATTGGAACAAGATTTTAGGAGGGGCATTAACCGTTTAATTTAAAACAATGATCATCAATAATCAATAATAGTAACAAACTATTTTGCTTATCTATATTTTTGGTTTTTATCCAATGATTCAGTCAAAGTGTAGAAATTTGAAAGAAAAAAAAACACTTAAATTTTGGATGAATATTTAAGGTAGAGAGAATTGTTCTATTGGAGGGAATTTGAAACGTCAACTGATTAATTATATCTCAAACGCACGTTACGTCTTATATTTAAAACACCATATTTAATATTATGGGAGTGACACTGTTTGTCATTCTCTATAATGTTATCATTTGTCCAGTACTTTACAAATTTGATCGTTATAATATGTAATATATAATTTTTTGATAAAGTAACATCGATCGACACCCTTCAAATATACGTAGCTCAAGCACTATTGACTATATATCTACATATGAAAATGTTGAGCAAACAAACAAAAAATAGAAGCTTCCCATAAAAAAATTGAAAGTACCTTTAAAGAGAGAAAAGCAGAAAAAGAAAGGACTATGACGTATTTGATGTGGATTGTCGTATTGTGAGAATGAAACTAACAACAATGTAAAACTCTTATATGATCTATGACGTATTTAATTAGAAATTTTAGGTTTAAATCTGAAAAAATTATTTAGAGCATTGCCCTTCAAAAATAAGTCTTATAATAAGTAAATTTAAATTTAATCGAATCTTAATAGAAATATGTTACAATATTGAGTGGATTTTGTTTTTTACAAAAAACAAAATAGGGACGTTATGAATTTATTGGGACCTTAAGTAACCATAAAGAGAAATTGTTGAAAGAACAGTTGTAGCATTAAGATGCAAAGGCCGGCTTGTGGGCTACTCGTTTTTAATCAATAAAATTTGAAATGATAAAGATATCACTGCAACAGTTTTTTTTTTTTTAAAAATCATTGGATGTTAGATATTTGTGTTAGATTCTCGATTAATTTAAATTCAATCCACATAAAGCCTATTAGAGGGGAAAGTACTTATAATTAGAAAAATAATTCATATAGAAAATTTATAATCGCAACTTCTAATGAAAAACGAAAAAATCTTATTTATTCCATCACAATCCTGATAGATACGTATCATTATTAAAATCTAATTTCGTACGTGCTGCTAGTTGTCTGCCACGCTAAATTTGAATTGTTACTATCATTTATAATTGTTCATTGATCAATTCCATATTTTAAGGGCTTCTTCCACTTGTCTCCAACCCTTTACTAATTTAAGTAAAGTATGTGTTTTGTCATTTCAAACACTATTCATAACATGATTAATGTGGACCAAAAAAATATTTCCATGTGTTATTCAAATGAATGTACATATATATGGTTTCACCTTATTATAGCGCTAAAATATTCATAGGTTTAACATACACAAAAAATTAAGAGAGTCGTTTAACTTCTGTAAAATATCTCTTAAATATCCAAAATATGTGCAAAAAGTGATGAGGCTTCACATACTTCTCCCCCAACTCCCTTCAGAGGATACGTAAAATTCTTGCAAAAAATCATCTGAAAGTCATATCACCAAAATTTTCATAGGCTAAAACACATGAAAAACTAAGAAAATTGCCTTATTCCTGTAAAAATGGCTTCTAAATGCCCAAAATATATGAAAAAAATGATGATGCTTCATGTACTACTTCCCCTACTCCCAACAGAGGGTTCCGTAAAAGTTTTGCAAAAAAATCTTCCGGAAGCCATATCACCAAAATATTCACATGAAAAACTTAAAATATCACCTAATTCCTGTAAATGGATACTAAATGTCCAAAATAAATGCAAAAAATAGCGAGACTTCATCTATTACTACCCCAACTCCCTATGGAGAGTTCCGTAAAGAGTTTGCAAAAAAAAAAAAAATCTTCTGAAAGTCACATCACCAGAATATTAATAGACTAACACACATGAAAAACTCAGAAAATTACCCAATTCTTGTAAAATGGCTCATAAATGCCCAAAATCTATGCCAAAAATGGTGAAGCTTCACGTTCTTCTTTCCCTAATCCCTACGGAGGGTTCTGTAAAAGTTTTGCAAAAAATAGTCTAGAGGCATATCACCAAAATATTAATGGGCCAACACACGAAAAACTGAAAAAATTGTCCGATTCCTCTAAAAGGGTTCTTAAATGCCCAAAAAATGGTGAGACTTCACGTATTGCTCCCCCAACTCCCTACGGAGGATTCCATAAAGGTTTTGAAAAAAACTGTCCGAAAATCATATTACCAAAATATTCAAGGGCTAACACACACAAAAACTGAAAAAATCGCCAAATTCTTGTAAAATGACTCCTGAATACACAAAATATATGCAAAAGATGGTAATAACTCATGTACTACTCCCCAACTCTGAGGGTTCCGTAAAGATTTTGCCAGAAATTTGTTCAAAAGTCATATCTCCAAAACATTTACGAGCTAACACACTTGATACAGAAAAAATCACCTAATTCCTATAAAATAACTTCTAAATGCCTAAAAATTTTAATTCCATCTTATTATTTATTTTGCCTTATTCATACCAATTAAGCAAATTTCCATATACAAATCACATATTTTAATCATCTCAATTTGCGTGTCCTCGAGTCGCACTAAATAAATTTTAACTTTACAATTTTATGGGTTTGGCCCAAACCCGACCTAGTAGAATCCGATACTATTGAAAAAAGGGCAGTGGAATTTCTCAGCCTATACTCCTCGCCTGCTGCTGACTGACCATTTCTTCCCCGAAGAAGAAGAAGAAGAAGAAAAAGATGCCGTTGAGTGCAACAATGGTGGGAGCCCTTTTGGGATTGGGTACCCAGATGTACTCTAATGCCCTTCGAAAACTTCCTTACATGCGCCGTATTCTTCTATTCTCCCCTTTTCTTTATTTTTTTCTGTTTTTTCTTGGGATTAGCTGCTGATTTTTTGGTTTCAATTGTGTAGATCCATGGGAACATTTGTTGGGTATGGGACTTGGTGTGGTGGCTGCCAATCAGATGGTGAAATGGGAAGCTAAGAGCAATGAAGATCTCGACAAATTGCTTGAGAAATCTAGGCTAGCTAATGAACGCCGTTACTTTGGTAAGTTTTCATATCAACCGAATTTCGATTGAACACCCTTTATTGCATTTCACTGTTTCTATCTATTAGCAATTGTGCAATCACTTTGTAAAGACACAAGCTTTGAAATTGATAACCCAGATGTGCTTAAATGAGGGTCTCTACTACTGATTACTGCTAAATATGTTTTGACTTGGCATGAAATTTAATAAAATTTGAAAGATTTTTGAATCTTGTGGTCGGTGTTGAATGTAGCAAAATGCCCTTTTAGTCTTGTGGTCTTACATGTGCCATGTAAAAAATTGGAGTGAAAGAGTTGCAAAAAGGGAAAGAGGCATTCTTTTAATGTAAGACGAACAAATTGAAATGGAGGTAGTAGTATTGCCCTTAAAATTTATTGGAGGATATACATACAAGATGGCTGATTTGAAAAAAGGATTCTTGTTTGGGTTGGTCAATGTTATTTGTGGGTAAAATAAATCTTTGTTCTTCTAGAGGAAGTAGTCGGGCAATGGGAGGTCAGTGCAATTGATAGAGGAATCCTTAGAAAATGTGGGAATCATTAGTGATTCCATGCCTTAAAATTCTTAGGGATGTCTTTAAATAGTGAATAACTTGTTTAAAACTGTAGAAAAGTTGTCTTTAAGGATATTGGCCGTCATTGCAAATCGGGGTCCTTTCTTGAAAAGATCCTATTTTTTTGTGTCTATCTTAATTCTTTTCTTTTTGTCTTAAAATATGGTGAAGAAGTTTATAATTTTGATTGTGTTTCAATGGATTCTAGTTTTACTTTTGGGTTGCAAGTATCTAATTCTTGGATGTTAATGGATCTTGTTGTTCATTTAAAGCTTCCCAATTCATCATGTAATTTGCTAGTTTTACAAGGATAATTGAGTTGACCTTAAAGATGAAGCGTGTATTGTGAGATTTAACCGAGATCTAACAGTACCTCTACTAGCCTCAAATATCTGTTATGCATTTGGATTGGCTTCCCTAGTATTTCCAGTACCATGTATAGTTTTCTCCTTAGATGACTATGGCACCTTAAAAGGAAGTTACGGAGCAAAGAAAAGATACTGGATAAAAGGTCAACCAGAATTAAGTTTTTGTTGTGTGGGTTAGGCACACGTCACTGGTTAGAATACTGCCATAGACAAAAGCTTTGTATTTAAGTGGAGAACAATAGAAGAGAGGGCCCGTTATCCATCAAGTTTCAAGCCATGCGCCTCCGGCGTCAGGAATTTATCGGTTATCAACAAAAAAAATATTTGCTTAGTTCAGCAATGCAGATGTTTACAGTTATCAACTGGGCCGTTATCTCTTTTGCTCCCTTGCTACTTCTACTGATTCACTTTCTCCTTCCAGAAGCTCTTTTCGGGCAAAACTATTATTCCTATACTCATGGGAAAAAAGGATGATCAATCTCGGTTGCATCTTTTTCACACTTTGCCACAAATTCCACACCTGCATATTCTTTGAAACCCAATAACAAGCAGGTGGTTTCCTCTGGGATGTACCACCTTTAAACAACTTTTGTCCCAAAACAGGTACTCTGTTACCACCATTGAAGTAAAACGAAAAGGCAATAAGTAGTGGAATAACAGAACCAAGAATGATGAATTTAGAATTAGATCAGATTAAAATTCTCATGAAATATAGCTTCCATATGCTATTAATATTTCTTTTATACATGACATAATTT